TTTTGAGCAATCAGTCTCAAAGAGCATCAAATAAATCAATCTTTCTCTTAGGCATGTCATAGCCTAAAGAAGACCATCCACCTCAGCATGTAGGGCCGAGAGGCTTATGTGACATTCCTGTTGTTTAAATATCTCGTTTATATCTCTTTTCATCGTTAGAGCATCATCCTATTCTATTAACCGGTTCATGATCGATCTAAGAAGCATTTATCTGACAAATCAGGGTTTTGGTGACCAAGAGGGGAGCCCTTAAGGCGAAAAGGTCTCAACGTGCATCTACCTCTTCTTCGTCCTCAAACTTTCTGCTTCCAAGGTCGCGTGCTGAAATGTGTCTTCTGGAGAAATCTCTTTTCCATTAAAAATTTGTCGCTTGTCGCTTTCCAAATGTATCAAATTATCTAAATATATATTATTTTGTGCGGTTCTAGTAAATCTAAGTTTTTAACCTTCCACAATAGAAAACTCATATTTTGATCAAATAGAAGTAATCAAGAAGTAGTCCAGAAACAACGATAACGCCCAAGACTTATAAAGCTGATGGACATTCAAATAGAAGATTGACTAATTGTTTTTCTATGGACACTAAATGCCTACAAGTGAGATTCTGACAAGCTGCAACACACCATATATCGCTTAGGACATAAGGAATTTAAAAAATAAGTTTTTTTATATCCCAAAATACATTTTGGGAATACAGAACATATTTGACATAATAAGTTTTTTCCTATTTTCTTAATTTTGTTTATTATTAGTAGATCATGTAAATGTTGTTCTATATGTTTTGTTTGGTTGTAGATATTGAATATGTTTTTGTTTTCCACTAATTATGTTTATAGATTTTCTGTTGTGGAGTTTTGTATTTTTTTCTTTTAATTTTTTATAATAATTCCTAATTTCGCAACTTAAAATGAATAGATATGTGTGAAGAATAAAGTTCCTTAATATATCTTATTTATTTAGATTTTTTTATTATAATAAACTGTGTTTTAAAAATAACTTTTATTATAAACTTTTTACCCTGGATATTTTATTACTAATCTTTAAACTACTTCCATTTGCACCTCTAAGTTTTTCATATGTTTTTTCATAGTACTTAGTTAGAACTATTCCTTCTCTAATACAATTATAATCTGCTCTTCTATCTAATAGTGTTACTATCTCTAATTTAATATTATAGCCTATATATAAACTAATTTTTGTATATCATTTCTGATAGTTTATTTTATCTATAATCTGGATATATACTTCCTCCTCTTTTGTTTCTTCTCATTGCACAAAAATTAGCACTATTTACTGTGATACATGAAATATGTAATGTTAGATTCCACGATTTTCTTCATATAAGTTAATACTATTTGCTGATACATGTTCCAATTTAAAAGTTGATGGTTTTGTGTTTCGAATAAGATAATCGTGTATATTATGTACAAAGCTGATTAAGCTCAACACTCGAAATCAATGCAAAAATTAAGAGAATAGCAACGTATGACTTTGTACATATTTATATATTACTTAAATAAATTTCATATACATAAAAAATGTGCTGTGTGTTAAATACTAGACAGTAATTGAATTTAAACTATTTCAAAGCGTTAAAAATATATACTAACATTGATGGAAGACCTCGACGAGGTATATTCCTTTTATTTCTATTTTTTGGTGAGTACTTTTTTTATTGGTCATATCTAGTAGCTAGCTCCCTTCATTTTATTAGAGCAACTCCAATCGAACACTATAATACTTGTATATTTGGTGTCGAGATCCAACGGAACGACATCTTCAACGCCATAATTGCTTTTTGGGTGAGTAACTAAAACAACTCAGATTCGGGCATTATTTCTTTTTATAGCCTAACAAGTTCAGTTATTACTAGAATAACTTAAAAATTAAAATAATCTCAATTCTAACCCTAAAGTCGTTTGTTAGGAAAAACAAAATAACGAAAATGCCATTACTATTTTGCTGCCACGTCAGCAAAACTTCAATTTATTTACGATTCGCCCAGCGTTTAATTATGATTTGTGCCACGGTAGAGTTGTTTATGTGAAAATACAAATCTGTCGGGCTAATGATGACAGATTTGTTGGTGCGACAGAGTTAATCATGGACGACAGAGTTATAGGTGAATATAGTGCCAGAGTTATTTTGTGTGACAGACTTATTTGGCAGACTTTTCCACGGCATGCTTATTTAGTTAGATTTATTTACTATGGTAACAGATTTGAACTGATTTGATAGATTTATTTGGCAGCTTTATTTTGGTAGACTTTTCTTGGTAGATTTGTCGGAAAGTGATGACAGATTTAATGTATCATGATATATTTATTTTTGCTTGGCATCAAAATTACAGAAGGAAATAAAATTACTAGACTAACTTATACGAGGCGATAGACTTACTTTACGACATTTTACGATATAACAGAGTTACGAGCTTACGACAGAGTTATTGACTTGTATTGACAGAGTTGTTCGCATCTTTATAATTACTGAAGTAGCACTTTAATGGTGACAGATTTATAAAAACGACATGCCAGACTTATTTGAACGTGATTGTAGATTTGGCGTTGGAAAGTTATTACGATAGATGTATTTACCTGCCCTTACAACAGAGTTATAATTTACTAGAGTAACCTATCCTGAGGTGACAGATTTGAAATGACAGATTTAATAAATCTGACGCTTGCTAATTGTGATTTAATGGTTAATATGATGTTATATCAACCCTAAAATCTATTGTTATGACGTTAATTATGTAAACATTAAAATAAACAGAAAAAAACTGATTAAACAGCTTTAAATAGCTGTTAGATTCGATTGGTGGGTGTTCATTAGTTATGATCGAATTCTTGTTGTGGTAGACTTGAATGGTGTTTCAATGGCAGAGTTACGTTGTATGGCGAAATGACAATTTTGACCTTCATCTTCTTCTTGGTTTCATCGCAAATCTGGTTTTCGTTCTTCTTCCTCTGTGTTGGTGTGTTTATTATCAGTCTTTCATTATCAGTCTTATACATTACTTGCATATTTCGAAGGCTCACACCTTCATCAATATATATGGCTGATATTTGAAAATGGTACTTGAAATTTAAATGCAGAAGAGGAATTGAGAGAAACGATGGATACACAGCCCAAAACTCATCTTTCCATCCTTTATCGCGATCACAAACCTGAATCTCTTTCACAGTGTTGTGCCTCTTTGATACCAATAAGATAATTTGCCTTAGGCCTGTTGATATTTTTGTTTCAATTGATCAAATTACTCTTAATTATTACAGAGATATTCTTTTGAGTCGATTAAGTAGTAAACAAAACACCTTAATTATTTAAACAATTTAATTATGTCAAAAAATGACGAGGATACACATCTTATAATGAAATAATACATATAGCGCATTGTTGATCTAAAAAAAAAATTACAAAACAATTGGAGTATCAAGTGTTGGAATAGCTGAGGCATATTACATCAAAAGATTTTTCCTCTACCCATATATAGGCTATAAAAACTAACCATGGTCATTAATATTTTGTTCTCTTACATTTTCTTATTTGGGTCATCTAGAGAGAGGGAAAGAGACTCTTTGAGGAGTTTAGCTTAGTTTGTTGTTCCTGAGAATCTGAGACGACTGTGTCATTTCTGCATCATCCTCTGTTTCTGCAGGTTCTATTGTAGCTGTCTTCTTTGAAATAACGAGCTGGTAGTTTGGGCTAAGCGAAGTGTCTTGTTCAGGTGGGAGAGGAACACCGGGTCCTGCAATCGATTTTGGCAATCTTGTTCCTGCTTTCAGAAAGTTGTAGCAGTATCTATAGCAAACATTAAAAAACGGCTGAGATTCAGAAACCAACCACTTGAATTTGGCTGACTTTGACACGAAGCATACAAAATGATCATGGTAAATAAATTTCTATGGTTACAAGGATATTGTTCACAAGTCAAAATCAACATGGATAATTCTCTAATCATTCACATAGAAATTATAACCACTCTCAACATCAATACTAATCAATGGATGCACTCATGTAACAAATCAGAACGTGTAAATACAAAACAAAAAAACCTAATAGCAAAAGAGAAAAAGAATGAGAGAGAGACATCACGATACCAGAGCTAGTTATGATTTTTACACTTCAAAACGTGAAGAAACGGACGGAGAAAAACGAAAACAACGCTGAGAGGAAAATCAACCACCGCTGCAACCTCCTCTGACAAACGGCACAACCCACCAAGCCGGCGAAAGCAAGCGACTTCTCTAGACCTCGGAGAAACCGTCGTAGATCTCTGACGAGAAACATCTCCACCGCCATCGAGCAGAGCATACCACCACCGTCATCTCCCAAAAAACAACTCGAAAACGATGAAAACAACCCAGAAAACGATTGAGGTTGTTGATTTACCTTCGCCGCCAAAAAACATCATCTACTCACCGAGAAAACAAAGAGTCTCCGCAGGTTTTCGCCTTCGTTTCGACCAAACACCACTGACGAAGCCTTCTACGCCGCCAGGAATCTTCCTATACCGAAGAAACACGACCGATTCCACCGGAGATCCTCGCTGTCGCCGTAGCTCGCAAAAGCCCTAATTTCTAGAAACCGAGAGAAGAAAGAAAGAGACGCTAAGAAAACGTTTCCGTTTTTTTTTTTCTTAATTATATTTTAATTCATTAGTTTGATGAATTAAATTAATTAAAATAAATAATGGTATTATCAGTAATAAAACAAAAAGAAAAGGGTATAAAAGAGTTTGACCAAAAATGTTAAGTTAGTCGAGTAAAGACAGCTCACCTTGGTGTTAGTTTAGTAAAGTTACTAGTTTTCTAAGTTATTTGAGGTAATTTTCCTTGCTTTTTTGTTGTGTTTTACGAATAGTATTCATGAAATCAAATTTTTTTTTATTTAATAGTAGAATGAAATGAAATACGTGTTGGATCTAAAAAATAACTATACCAGAGATTAATTTTTTTTTTCAGTTTTAATAATATCAAAATTTAATTGTAACTAAAATATTACACAAAATATTTAATTGAATAAGAAACTTAATAAAGATTCAAAATACATATTAAAGTTAAATTAAACACTGAAATGTATTAATTGAACACTTGTAATCCGAGTATATTAATTTTCACTATTTTAATCTCATATTGTATATGTGCAGCCGTAACGGTTGGAATGTTTTATCCCAAACACGAAGTACTAGGTAGTTCTATCTAACTGGTTTCTATAGATAGTAACAGATATCTACTTGGTTTTTTTCCTAATAAAACCGCTCCGATTGCCTTTTCACCAGGTTCCCACCCCCGATATCGGTCGGAGGGTCCGCCAGCAACCGCTCTGCATCAAGGTCGACAGCCTTCTCCCTTGAAGGCACTATCTTCGCCCCATCTGCGCTATGTCTCTGACGCTATCTCGTACTCCTATTACCTTTATCTCTTCTGTTCTGCACTAGAGGACTCCTTCATAAGCTCAACAGCTCTGCCGACGCTAGCTCTCTCCAAACAAGGCTCCTCACCATCATCTCACTATCCGAATCTGTGCTGCTGCATCGACTAACTCATCATCTCAACCCTCTCCCAGTCATGAACAGAAGAAGAACTCCCTACACAGACAAAAGAAAGGGGAAGCTGACCCATTACTCCAGAGAATCTCCACCAAGAAAACGCATCAAGGCTCCTGAAATCGACACATCTGACTTAATCCGGGAAAAAATCTGACACTGATTGGCAGACTTACCAATCCAGACTTTCAACGCATCTGGCCCTTCATCAACAGTCTCTCTAGAAGACGGGAACTCAAGGGCAAAATCAAAGGAGCCGATCTCGGATCCTCCTGCTTCCAACTTTGCTTTGAACACGAGGATGATCTTCATAAAGTCCTCTGCAACAAGCCTTACCAACACGTGAAGTGGATGATAATCCTTAAGTGTTGGGAACATCATCTCGAACAACTTCCCCTCTCAGATCCCTTTCTGGATCCAGCTCAAATGCATCCCTCTTCACTATTGAAAAATCAAAATTATTGAAGACATTTACAACGCAGTGGGTACCTTTGAAGATTTGGAGCTCACAAAGACAACAGCCAGAGTTTGAGTCTCTATCAACACCCTGAAACCACTAACAATGGAGACAGTCATAGACTTTCCCAATGGAGAGGAGGCTATCGTTAGACTGGAATACGAGCGTCTAGAGCCCTACTGCAAGTGATGCTTTAGCCTTACCCACAAAAAAGGACTGCAGTCTCTACGCTCGTCACTCCAACCTTACTCATAATGCGACAACAACCAATGCAAAGCCTGACCCGACTCCCTCTCGCCGTCACTCACTTACTGCAAATCATGTTAACGATTCTGCAAAACAACAAATTGTCTTTAGCCTCAGGACAGACAGACATGGAAATCCCTTTAGTCCAAGACCATCCCAGCAAGTCAACAGTACAGACAAACGATACAAAAAAGAAAATACATCTGACAGCAGAAAAACCTTACCCGGACAAACTCGAGCACCTACCCTCCCACGACGTGAGGAAATCACCACCCCTCACCATGAACCACATCACACTCAGAAGGATCGCTCCCACCACATCTCCGAAAACCACTCTATAGACTACCACATGAGGTCTTGTCTAGGATATGATGTGCGAAATCAATGGAATAGCATAAGAGTGTTGAATCCTCGACCAAGTCTTGTCTCCGAGACCCAATTCTTGGTCGAAACCTCGAGAAAGAGGTCTTCTCATTCCTGCAGCCTCCTCCTACATGCGAGCAAAATCAAATCACTAGAGAAACTATAATGGAAGAACTCCAAGATGTGGCCATCAGATATGTTAACTGCCCTGATCCTGTGGAAAGTGCCGCTCGGAGGCAAAGAGTCATCGATGGAGAAAGACAAGGTATGATGGAAGAAACAGCTACAGCTATACTTACGGCCTCCTCAAAACGTGTCGCAATCACCCTAAATTAAGAGCTCCAATCGACAGTCATCTCTAATGAATCTGTTTTACCCAAACTCCCACCACCGGAAGCACCTGCCAAAAGGAAAAGAGGACGACATCCGCTTAAAAAAGTGCCTGCGGACAGCCCACAAATGAAAATAGGGGCGAGTTCAGAGAGAATTTTAGCTCAATCAAAGCAGAGCTCACCAAAGATCCGCCAAAGACAAGGAAAAGGAATCAAATTCTAATCACCGAACCCGCCACCAACCATTAAACCAGGACCCCCAAGAAGAATCTCTGCTGGACACTCAAACTACAGACCAAACCGACTGAATGGAGGGACATCATCCACAAGCAGAGATCCCCCACGAGCTCACATCATTCCAGCCATCTCCAAAACCACTTCAGAGGATTTTCACCATCCGCATCCTTCAATTCCTTAAAGATAGCTAGCTAAAATTGTTGTGGTTTTGGGGAATCCCACAACAATCCAGCGCCTAAAGGAGATTCAAAAGAAAACTCTCCCTGACATCACTTTTCTTATGGAATCAAAAAACTCTGATGATGTTGTATTGAAAAAGTTGGAATGGATGAACTTTACCTCTTATCATCTTGTGCCCCCAAATAGTCCTGGTGGAGGAGGCCTAGCCCTTTTTTGGAATAATAACATCCATCTCGAAGTCATCTCATCCTGCAACAATTTTATAGATACAGTCATCACACACAAAAATAAGAGTTTCATTGCAATCTTTGTCTATGGAGAGCCAGACCAATCAAAGCACTCTGCAATATGGGAATCTCTATCTGAAACTGCGATCAATCGTGAGCTCCCATGGTTCCTGACTGGAGACTTTAATGATATAATTGACAACTCGGAAAAACTGGGAGGACCCGAGAGAGCTGAAGGCTCCTTCTGCTACTTCAGGGCATCCCTCTCACGCTGTGATCTCTTCGACCTTCTGCACCACGGCAATTCTTTATCTTGGTGTGGAAGACGAAATGACCATCTGGTTTATTGCCGCCTTGACAGGGCATTATCCAACAGCCTATGGGCAGATATGTTCCTTGCTTGAAGATGCCACTATCTCAGATATGAAATTTCTGATCACAGGCCTCTCATCTTCTATCTTGAGTCCCCTAAAGGAAAAAAGAAAAGGCTTTATAGATATGATTGTCGCATAAGTAACAACCCTGTCATCAGAGAGCTCATTTCTAAAACATGGAATTCTAATCCGAATCACACGGTCGAGCAAAGACTATCAGCATGTCGAAAGGCAATCTCCAAATGGAATAGGGAACATCACCTCAACAACCATAGAGCAATTGAGATAAATAAGGAGAAGCTGGACAAAGAAATGACAAATCAAAGCCCAAGTGAGGATCTGATCATGGAATTCAATAATGATCTCAAAAAGGCATACAAAGAAGAAGAAGCTTACTGGAAACAGCGAAGTCGATCCATGTGGCTGACCTTAGGAGACAAAAACACTGGCTTCTTCCATGTTGTGACAAAAACCGTAAAGCCCAAAACAAATTCTCTGTAACAGAAAAAGATGATGGCATAGCAGTCTTCGAAGAATCCGAAATCACCTCTGTAGTAAGTAATTACTTTCAACAGCTCTTCACCTCTGACTTCTCCGACTGCACGAGCACAGTTGCACCACCCGCATCTCTGACGATGCCAATAACTCTCTGACTACCCTGCCATCTGCAAAAGAGATCAAGGATGTTCTCTTCTCCATCCACCCTGACAAAGCATCAGGGCCGGATGGATTCTCAGCCTCTTTCTTCTGAGCCAACTAGACCTCCATTGGCGATGCTATTGTCACAAAAATCCAAGGATTCTTCTCTTCAGAGAAACTACCTGAAACAATCAATCACACATATATCAGATTAATCCCAAAAATCACTGGACCAAAAAAGGCATCGGATTATAGACCTATAGCACTCTGCAACGTATACTACAAGATATACTCGAAGATCCTCACCAGATGCCTTCAACCGGTACTGCAGGACATCATCTCAGACTCGCAATTTGCATTCATTCCTGGCTAAGCCATCACGGACAATGTAATGATCACCCACGAGAACCTACATTTCCTAAAACGATCAAAAGCCATAAAACATTGCTCCATGGCCGATAAAACTGACATGAGCAAAGCTTATAACCGCCTGGAATGGCCCTTCATCCATGTTGCACTGTATCAATTTGGGTTTCACAGTATATGGATTAATTGTATTATGCAAGGCATAACCACAGTCTCCTATTCTTACCTCATCAATGACTCAGCACAAGGTCTGGTAGTCCCACAAAGAGGAATACGACAAGGAGATCTCCTTTCACCTTACATCTTTATACTCTGCGGTGAAGTTCTTTCGGAATTATGCAGAAAGGCACAAGACAAATGGCTGCTCTCAGGTATCAGGATTGCAAAACACAGTCCACTAAAACTATCTCCTCTTTGCAGATGATACCATGTTTTCTGCAAAACATCTCAAAAAGCATGCGCTACTCTACAAAGCATACTTAAAAAACATCAATCACTTTAATAACACCGTATTTTGACCACTTTTATGGATCGTTTTGAAATACTTTTTCTATGTTTTTAATTGCTTTTAAGTACTTTTATTACGTTTTTCTAGTATTTGTAGTTCCAAGATTCTTTTCAGGTAACTTAGGGAAAAGCTTAACAAAATGGATAGAAAACCAGATTTCAGCTCAGAGTCAAACCGTCAGAAGTTCACCCCTGATTGAAGGCCTTCTCACCGTCTGATCCAGCTCAAATTTGGAGACCTTAAAGATGGAAGTATCAGCTTTCCAGCACACTTTACAGCTTGGCAATCCAACGGTTCAATCAAAAGATACGCGAAGAGCAAGATGTCCCGTAAACCAGCCAGCAAGCAACTCCACCCACGGCCAACAGGCCATTTCCCGCGGTCAGAAGCATCCCGACCGCGGCCAACCATCCATTCCCCGCGGTCACAGCCCTCCCGACCGCGGCAAGCCAACTCCGAGCCCAAAAGCCCATTTCTGAAGCCCACAATGATTCCCTCATTTGGAGAAACCCTAAGTGACGTCCAGAGATGTCTTGAGCACTATAAATACATGTTTTAGGAACCCTAATCGATATCATCTATCATTACTTCATATTTTTATTGTTTTTGCTTTAGGTTTTAAGGAGAGAGAGATTTTTTCTCTTGAACCCTTGTTTCTTTCTTTTTCAATTTCGGTTTCTATTATACTTATTAATACTATGTTTTTGATTTCGTTTATCATGTCTGAGTAGTGTTATTGTTGGGATTAAGGGATTTTCGATGGGGATTTATATGTTCGATGAGGATTCCATGAGCTTTTGAGCCGAATCTTAGAACTTTTTCTTCTGAATTCGTTTTTACTGCATGAGAGTAGCGTCATGAACTACAATCTGATCCAGATGCTTGGTGACACGAAAGTGTTCACCCGGTGTCAGATCTAGTTTGGGAGAGCAAAACAACCATAGGAGTGGAAACCTACCTATGGGCGATTTGTGAATGCTGAGGAGTCTTAAACATAATGCATCTCTTCTCTTCCAGGGCCGGAGTGGAAACCTACTGGTCAGGGTTGAGAGCGATAGTTGTCTATGATCACGACAGTGGCGTATTCATACGTCCGTGACTCCAGTTCGAAAAGTTTAAGCTAAGATCTTATCAATTTTACTCTCTAGCAATGTTTTGAATCGTTCGTACCCCTGAGAAAACTTCCCTGAACCCCAACGCCTTCTTTCCTATAGATTCACACCGTTTTTATTTCAAGCTTTAGTTCAATATTGTCTTTTATCATTTAAGCAATTAGAATATCCGTTTTTCTCATTTTTATTCATTTTCGTGAAGTTTAGTTATTAGGTCATTTAATTCCCGTATTTTCTTTTAAGATTTTGTTTTTACATTTTAAACACACTACCAAAACCCCCACAAAACCGTTTGGTTCTAGACTTCCTTACTTTATACTTATTTCAAAGGCTTTTTGCAGGAAAAGATCCTCCTTCCCTGTGGATTCGATCCCTAAGTACTACAATCGATCAGCTGTGCACTTGCGGCTATTGATTTCATCTAGGGTAAAACTTGACAACCCTCACACCACACCACATCAATTTTTGGCGCCGTTGCCGGGGAAGGCACGCGTTTTCTTTTCCGCAAAACCCCGAGAAAGGTTGGTAAATCGACTATAGAACCCCCTTTTCTGCAACTTTCCATTTTTCGGTTATTTTGTTTCCATTTCAGAAGATATGGATCCTATAAATCAAAATATACACTATGAGGAAGGTTTCTATAACACTCCTCAAGCCACCAGACGCAGAAAAAAGCAGTATCTGCGAGATCTCTACGAATAAACTCAAAGCGAAGACTACAGAACGTTCCAGAAGGAGCCCTGCGCATCTCCAATGGCCAACCCTGAACAACCTGCCCGTCGTTTGCCTCACCAAGATGAAAACGTCCAACTCATTCACCGATTGAAAACACTATAAGTGGCGGTCTTGCACCTACTCGACGTTCAAGCAAGATCTAGATCCACAATCCACGAGAAAATTGAAGATTTGTCAATGCGCTTTAACAGAAAGCTTGAAGATCTTTCAGCTCAAGTCAAGACCATCGAAACTCAACTAAACAAGGGTGCTGAAACCATTAAGGCGAGGATAGAAGCAGTCGAAGGACGAGTTGGAGAAAACGAAGTTCGCATTCGCAAAGCCAGTGGGAACATCCACACCTTAGAGGTTAAACTTGATGAAGCAGAAAAGACTATTAACGACCATAACAACCAAACCTATTCCTATGTGGAAGAGATTTGGGATGGAGTACACAAGGTTCAAGACAAAGCAGAGGAAATAAACTCAACCGTGGACAAAGTAGTCTATGCTCTCGATGAAATCGAAGAGAAGGTCGAAAAGCTTATGCAAGGACGTGAATGGTTTGACGCTTCTCATCGAAGATCTTAGCATAAAAGAGGAGGAAACAGAGTTAGAAGGTGCAGAAATCAGTTCAGATGGCAAAGGAGCAGACAAAACGGAGGAAACAACTCGGAGCCTCCTTCCCGCGGTCAGAACTCTTGTGACCGCGGCCAACAAGCTTCCAGCCGCAGTCGTGAGCCTCCTGACCGCGGCAAAACCCTCCCCACCCGCGGTCATGAAGCCTCTACCCGCGTCAAATGCTCCGTCAGATACCTTTCAGCCATTTTCAATTCCTACAGGTCAATGCTTATTTGATACATCTGCTGGGATGGTCAAAGCCCCTCTTCATGAGCAAACAGTGTATGCTATCAGCTCCAAAACATCTCAAGAAGAAAATGAGGTACTCCCTTGCAACATAGTTTTAGCATATGAGGATGAATATGAAGGGCACTACCTCGAAGATGAAGACTATCGTCTGTTCATAGAAGGAGGGAATCCAGACAAAATGGTGGAATTAGGAGCACCAATCTCCAGAGAAAGGCTCATTGAATTCAACAAGTTTGTGAAATCGATCCCTCTTTACACAGGTTTCGATGATATATGGCATCTTGGTTGTTTGCAAGTTTCCTTTAGGTACAGCAAGGAGACAAAGGAGGATAACAGAACCTATTTTGGAAGGGTCAGACGTCTGACCTTTCCCAGAACATCACCTGATGCTGCTGTTTATTCAATCCACCTCCAAAGACCGGAAGACTGCAGCCACTACACCAACAAAATCAGCAAGGAAAAGCTCGACGAATTCAATGATGTGGTTTGAAATTTGCCTGAAAGAATCACGTTTGCCAGAGCTTGCAAGGACTTTATGATAGGCCACTACTTCTGTGAGAGCAAAGAATCAATCCCTGAGATAGAAGACTTGTTCAATCATGCAAGAAAAGGTAAACCTGTTCGAACACTTCACAAAATCGATGGTGTAGGTCAGTTTCTTATCTCTTGTTCTATTAGAGGAGAAATGTTTAAAAACGTGCTATGTGATTCTGGAGCTTGTCTTAACATGATGTCCAAGGCAATTGCTTTGAGACTTGGTATTAGACACCTGCGCAGGACTAGAGCAAAGATTAGTCTAGCTGATAATTCCAATGCAACACCTCAAGGAATAGCTCATGAAATTCCTTTGAGAATAGGAGATTGCATAGTGCATGTCGACTTCTACATTGTCGAAACGAGAGATGCAACATATCCAGTGATTCTCGGATGGTCTTTTCTAGCAACTTCCGGAGCTATAATGGACTGGCCAAACCGGAGGATTTCATTTGCTAATATCGACAAAGATGTCTTCACAGAAGCTGTCCCATACAACAGCAAAGCAGGAAAAAGTTCTGCAGCAGAAGGGTTTGAAGAAGAATTTTGGAGTGACGAAGAACCTGCTAGGCAAAACAAGGAGATGTCGAAAAAAGACTTGTCTCAGGACAAGGTCTTCTTCATTGGAATAAGTCACGTCCAACACCAAAAGTCGAGCTAAACGACTTAAAACAAAAAGCGCTTAATGGGAGGCAACCCATTTAGGTATTGTTTTCTTTATGATTTTTCTTTCTTTTCTTTTGATCTTTTTATTTTTCTTAGTTTCAGGTGTTTCTTATAAAACAAAAAATCCAAAAAAATCAAAAAACCCGAAAAAACCAAAAAGAAGGATGGTACCTGACTGCTCAGCCCAGCAGGAACCAAAGAGAAGTAGGAAGAGGCCGCGAAATAAGCCCTCGCGGTCGCAGACGTTCTGACCGCGGGAAACGTACCATCGACCGCGGTCGCGTGATTCTGACCGCGGCCAAGCACCTGTTTGCCGCGGTCGCGTGACTCCTGACCGCGGCAATTGGTCGTTGAGATCAAACCCGACCCCAAACCACCCACTTCACCTCATTTCACCTCACCAATCCCCAGTCCACCTCATTCATCACCCTCCACCACCTTCATCACCACCTATCACCTTCCCAAACCCCTTCGAATGAAACCGGTTCATCTCCACCAGCATCCCGGATCCAGGTAAGTTCTCTTTGTCCTTACCAATTCGATTATCTATGCATTTTTCTCATCCAATCTCGACTTGTTTCACACTGAGGACAGTGTGATTGAAGTCTGGGGGAGGATTTCATCCCTTTCTAACCACTTTTCTTTCATGAGTCTTGCATTATCTACACTTTTTGCATTTTCCTTAAAGTTTTTCAAAATCGGTTTTCAAAACAAAATACGTTTTAAAGGGAATGGTGAACATGAATCAATGATAGTTGACTGTGCGCTTTTAGACTGTTCCTAGTGACATGCTCATTCATGATTTAGGACTAGACTAGGCGGTAGCTAAGCACATTTGAAACGAAGTACCCTAGAGGAATTTGAATGATTTCGATTTAGATGAAGGGATACACTAGCTCTGATTTATTTAGACTTAATTTGGACTTAATTTTCTCATTGAAGCATTAGACCAGGGAAACGAATCATACATTCAGGACTCCTTAATCCTTTTACCACTCTCTGTTGATCCTGAATGGCTAGTTCATCTTTAGCTAGTTCCCCACCTTAACCAATCCTCTTTCAAAGCACATGCACTCTTGTTTTCTATTGTCTTATATGCAGATAAGTGCAAAAACGTTGGAGAGAAAGAGGAACGACGCAGTTTTCAGTCACTAAGGACAGAGACCTGCGATTTGCCGTAAAAATTCCCGGAAGGATTCAACACAAGAGGAAGCTCAGTTTGCCTTAGAAAAATCTCAAATTTTGGTACAATCTCGTCCTCTAGTCTTTCTCTCTTTAAAAGGCATTTCCTTTCCAAAATAAAAAAAAAATCTGAAAATAAGAAAAGAAAGGAGATAAAAGCCTTAGAGAGTCTAGAGAGGTCGAATTTTAAGTCCCAAGGCAACTGGAGTTCAATTTTATGGAGTTTTGGAGATTGTTTTCTGATTCCCGGAAAGAATCTAAGTCTGGGGGAATAGCTGTTTACAACAAAGGAGGAAGGATTATGCAACAACATTTGGAAATAAGAAGTGACTGAAAATTGCGGTCATCAACAGGTCCTTATCTCTCTTGCGGTTTTGCATATTATCTAGCATCCTCCAGATCTTCAGGTAACCCGAAACACTTAAACTCCACCACTTAAATAGCCCTTTAATGCCAAACGCCGTCTACCCTGGATGATGTCTTTAATGAGAACTCACTATTGAACTTAATGAATGTAGAGAGCTAGTTGACTGGAATCAAGATTTAGATTGTTTAAGTTTTGCATGACGGAAAAAGTGGACTAGTATCTCTTGTGCATTAGTGAGAATTTTCTAGACTAAGTTGTGGATTGATGCACTATCTTTGGTCCTAGTTTAGGAGTTCATGTCTATGAGATTTGTGCATTTCCTATTTTTGTTTTCACTTAACCAGTCTAGGGGAGTTGATAACACCGTATTTTGACCACTTTTATGGATCGTTTTGAAATACTTTTCTATGTTTTTAATTGCTTTTAAGTACTTTTATTACGTTTTTCTAGTATTTGTAGTTCTAAGACTCTTTTCAGGTAACTTAGGGAAAAGCTTAACAAAATGGATAGAAAACCAGATTTCAGCTCAGAGTTAAACCGTCAGAAGTTCACCCCTGATTGAAGGTCTTCTCACCGTCTGATCCAGCTCAAATTTGGAGACCTTAAAGATGGAAGTATCAGCTTTCCAGCACACTTTACAGCTTGGCAATCCAACGGTTCAATCAAAAGATACGCGAAGAGCAAGATGTCCCGTAAACCAGCCAGCAAGCAACTCCACCCACGACCAACAGGCCATTTCCCGCGGTCAGAAGCATCCCGACCGCGGCCAACCATCCATTCCCCGTGGTCACAGCCCTCCCGACCACGGCAAGCCAACTCCGAGCCCAAAAGCACATTTCTGAAGCCCACAATGATTCCCTCATTTGGAGAAACCCTAAGTGACGTCCAGAGATGTCTTGAGCACTATAAATACATGTTTTAGGAACCCTAATCGATATCATCTATCATTACTTCATATTTTTATTGTTTTTGCTTTAGGTTTTAAGGAGAGAGAGATTTGTTCTCTTGAACCCTTGTTTCTTTCTTTTTCAATTTCGGTTTCTATTATACTTATTAATACTATGTTTTTGATTTCGTTTATCATGTCTGAGTAGTTTTATTGTTGGGATTAAGGGATTTTCGATGGGGATTTATATGTTCGATGAGGATTCCATGAGCTTTTGAGCCGAATCTTAGAACTTTTTCTTCTGAATTCGTTTTTACTGCATGAGAGTAGCGTCATGAACTACAATCTGATCCAGATGCTTGGTGACACGAAAGTGTTCACCCGGTGTCAGATCTAGTTTGGGAGAGCAAAACAACCATAGGAGTGGAAACCTACCTATGGGCGATTTGTGAATGCTGACGAGTCTTAAACATAATGCATCTCTTCTCTTCCAGGGCCAGAGTGGAAACCTACTGGTCAGGGTTGAGAGAGATAGTTATCTATGATCACGACAGTGGCGTGTTCATACGTCCGTGACTCCAGTTCGAAAAGTTTAAGCTAAGATCTTATCAATTTTACTCTCTAGCAATGTTTTGAATCGTTCGTACCCCTGAGAAAACTTCCCTGAACCCCAACGCCTTCTTTCCTATAGATTCACATCGTTTTTATTTCAAGCTTTAGTTCAATATTGTCTTTCCTTTTTAGTAGATTTTCATTTAAGCAATTAGAATATCTGTTTTTCTCATTTTTATTCATTTTCGTTAAGTTTAGTTATTAGGTCATTTAATTCCCGTCTTTTCTTTTAAGATTTCGTTTTTACATTTTAAACACACTACCAAAACCCCCCACAAAACCGTTTGGTTCTAAACTTCCTTACTTTATACTGATTTCAAAGGCTTTTTGCAGGAAAAGATCCTCTTTCCCTGTGGATTCGATCCCTAAGTACTACAATCGATCAGCTGTGCACTTGCGGCTATTGATTTCATCTAGGGTAAAACTTGACAACCCTCACACCACACCACATTACACTTTCTCTGGACGAACACCAGAAGACATCCGCACAAGGGTAATATCCACACTTGGTATTGATAAAGAAGGAGGGCAAAGTAAATACCTGGGACTACCTGGTCACTTCGGACGCAGGAAGAAGAACCTCTTTACCAAGCTTGTTGATCGCATTCGCCAAAAAGCCATCGGGTGGTCCACAAGGTTTCTCTTAAGTGCCGGGAAGATGACCACGCCTAAAGCAGTTCTCACAGCCATCCCATCTTACCCAATGTCATGTTTCAAGCTACCTCAAAGCCTTTATAAACGCATCCAATCTGCACTGATAAGGTTCTGGTGGGACTCCAAACCAGACAAAAAAAAGACGTGTTGGGTAGCTTGGAAAAACTTACAGCATCAAAGAGAGATAGAGGGCTGAGATTCCCGGTGTAGAAAGCTCGTGTCTACATTCCCCCCCCCCAATGCCTGCTAGCTCGTGTCTTCAAAGGACGGTACTTCCAGGAATCTTCCTTCCTCTAAGCTCCGACTCCCCCCCCCCCTCTAACAGGTTCTCATGGTTGGCGTAGCATAATGATAGGAAGAAATCTGCTACAAGCAAACAGTTGTATCTCAATTAGGAATGGAAAAAACACCAACATATTTTCGGAACCATGGCTCTCCCTCGTCGAACCACTTCAACTCGTTGGCCCCCTAAACAAGATTTTGACTGAGCTTTGTGTCTATGACCTCATGATCCCAAATACAATTCATTGGTGCAAAGACAAAAATCAAAGAAGTGTTACCTGTGTATGAGGAACACATCCTGAGCACCAAACCAAGCCTCTGTGGTGCAGAAGACTCCCTCGTTTGGCTTCCCCTTAAGTATGGTATCTACACTACGAAATCAGGATACCACTCAACAATGCAGATGAAACAAAATCAAGATGACAGGCAGAACATCTCACCAAGAGTCAACTGGAACACCGAAGTGTGGAATGGTAAATCCTCATCAAAGCTCCAAGTCTTTTTATGGAAAGTTCTCAAGAAAGCTCTTCCTACGGGATCAAATCTCCTAGCTAGAGGTTTAACTCTCGTGGCTCTTTGTCATCGTTGCAGAGCTACGAAAACCTCCGAAGACCTTTTCCTCCATTGAAATTTTACGAAAAGAGTTTGGACTCTGGCCCCTTTCATCCACATGATCGATTCTTCCTTCATCACCGAATTCGCTATTGGTCTTTGAGAATCCACCTCATGGATGACGCTACCCCTAGTGGGTCTCACTACAAGCTCACTCTTCCCTTGGATTTGTTGGGCACTGTGGGAAGCAAGGAACCACATTGTATTTGAGAATCGCACTATTACACCGAGGAAATCATCACCAAGGCCATCTCCAAACGCCCGTGACTGGCAACTAGTACAAGCTCCTCAGGATCTCCTCCCACGACCAGAGGCAAACCACCACCACGATCTCGACCCCACCCTTCAAAAGTCATATGCCAATCCGATGCGGCATGGATCAAACAAACCCACCTCGCTGGATTAGGATGGATCTTCATGAAGGAGTACATCACGAAGCTGGATCGAGGGGACAGATCGGAAGAACACGTTTATTCATCTCTAATCTCGGAAGCCTTATCTGTTCGATATGCACTACGACAAGCACTAAACAAGAATTTTTTAGATCTACACCTCTAAATTGACTGTAAAGATCTAATTGCTAAAATCGAAAGCAACAACAGCAGGAAGGAGAGGAATTCTCTTCGATATAAAAGCTCTGGAAAAAATGTTTGATAGTATCTCCTTTGAATTTATTCCTTGCTCAGCAAATATGAATGTTGATGCCATCGCAAAGCAGGCTCTCAAAAGCTCCACTTGTATCTATCCATAACGGGTTTTTAAATGGCTGTTAAAAAATTTTCATATTATTTTTTTCACGACTTTGATATTATAGTGTAATTTTTACTATTTTAATTACGTATTAGTGTAATATTTTTACTATTGTAATTTATCAGTTGTAATCTCATATTTAATTTATAATTAATTACAGTTCAAATTTAATAGTATTTATCAAAATTATTAAAAGAATAAAAAAAGTTTAATTTTAAAATATAATAATAGAGAATATTTTTAGCTGTGAGATTTGGTGTTGTGATTCGAGATGCAAAATAAAGTAGAACACCAAAATATCAAATTTGGTGTTATTTCAACAACAAATATACTGTTAGCCTTAGAGATGCTCTTAAAAATTTATTTATCTAGCTTTTTTTTTTTTCTTCTAGTTGAACGTTTTAAGTCTAGCTAGCTTAACTAAGACTTTAAGGGTATGTTGAATACTAAGGTATAGAATCTCCTTTCAAACATATATCATATGGCTAGCTACATAAGGTATTACTTAAATTGGAACATAACCGATTCAAATAAATTGCTACAAATTAAAGATATTGAATTACAGCATAGAACAAAACAGAGTCATCTGTATTTTCATTGTAAATACAAATTCTAAGAATTGAAAATAATATCATAAAAGATTTGCATCGCTTCTGAATTTAATTTAGTTACCCCTTTCGATGTGTCAAACTTCAAACCTAAGTTTGATTTTTTTTCTTTTTCTTTGAACATATTGACAATGGAGTGGTTAAGTCTCGTTTGAGAAATTAGTTGTTGACTTTATGTTGGATTTTTTTTACGTGACACATTAAATGAGAGAATATCGTTTTAGATGAAAATGGTAATTTGCCAAAAGGGCTGCTGTATGTTGAATTTTTGTTTTGTAACTTTTTTTTATTGTGGGTACAACTAAAATTTTAGCTAAAATTACAACCGTCAAAATTGTAGATAGTGAAAATAGAGAGGTTTTTGCATAATCTTTAAGAAAGGAAAAACCGAAGGGCTATTGAGCAATACACAGTATTTTGTTGCTTAACAAGAACAAACAAAATTGAGGGTGTTTTGGAAAAGATTTTACGAACTATACTGGATTAGTATTACGATTCTCAGAAGAATTTATAAGAACAAAAAAAAATAGACAAGTTATTGGGTTAAGATCTAGATCGTAGCAGATAGTAGAGTTAAGGGTAGAATTCTGGGTGGAAAAAGTTGTCCATGGCCCACTCTTTTCCGTGTTGTATACTCCGAGATCGTGTTCAACGTCTCGGTTTCTGATGCAGCGCATCGTAGGATTATTGGGCCTTTTCATGCAAACACGTCGCGAGTTTTAAACGTGTTTGTCCAGTTATTGATTTCATCTTTTTAATTTGATTTGTTTTTTTATGATTAGATAAACTCAAATCTTTTCTCAATTAGGATTAGGATCTTTCGTAATCTCCTTAGCCTATTATTTATAGTCGTTGAATAGCTTTGTAAACGTCACCTTTTGACATTGAATCATTTATCTAAAGAGCTCATTCAAGCACTAAGAGGAGTACTCTTAGTTCCTTTGCCTTCGATCACTCGCCTAAGCCAAAATCCGAGATCGTTTCAAGCTTTCTTCAAATTCTTGTTGTGATTTTGTATACGTATCTTCCGCCTCTCTATCAGTTGGTATCAGAATCGGTATGTTCCTGTTCCTGAAGATTGTTGACGTTTGAGACGATGCGTCCGAAGAAGAACATCAACAACGCCGGTAAAGATAATAATCCAACAGGAGGTTGGGCAGAACTTCGTTCTGCTCTCCTTGCGATGCAGGAGAACATTCATGCGACGATACACACGTCTATTCAGGAGATATGCAAGACGTTGTTGACTCGTTTGGATGCGCGTATGCCAGCTCATGCAAACGTTCGGGATCGTGTGGACAATCAGTTTGCAAATCAAGATGGTGATGATGATGTGGAGGAAGATGAATATCACCATCGAGTTTGTCGTGATGACAACCATGGCGATGGCAGAGATAACAAGTGGGAGATAGGTTTTCGTGTCCATATTCCAAATCAGGAATTCGTGGTGATGATCTACTCGACTGGATCGTCTCGGTGGAGGAAATCCTCACCTTTAAACAGGTGCCTGATGGCGGACGTGTTCCTCTTGTAGCGATGAGATTTTGCGGGCACGTGATAAGTATTACAAGAGGACTTATACAAGGAGGAATAAAAAGGAGTCGTTAAATCCGTTAGAAGTCGTTGCTGAGCTGGACAATGACGTGGCGAAGATTGAAGGAGGAGAGTAAAGCGAAGACTCTGGAAAGGACGGAGAGTTTACGTTTACAGGATTGAGCTGTTAAATAGAGAGGAGAAAGAGTTGTTTTCTTTTATGCTTTGTTTGTTATTCTCAAGACGTGATGAGTCTGAGCTAGGTCGTTATGAGATCTGGAGATTTGTTTGCATTCGCCATGAGAGTGTAATCGATCTTGTGAACAAAGCTATAAACTCTGTAATTCTCATTTGGATATATACATTCGAAGTTCTTTCTCTATCAGCACGCCGCGTCATGGTGGAAGCAGCTGAAGTCTACGAGAATGTGTACGAAAAGAGAGCCAATACAGTCTTGGGAAATGCTCAAGAAACACCTACAAAAAGCATTCCTCCCTCATAACTATGACCGTATGATGTATACATGGTTACAAAATCTGCTACAAGGGAGTTGCAGCGTGGAAGATTACGTCGAGGATTTCTCCGTCTTGTTAACTAGTAACGAGCTTCATGATAGCGAGATTCAGCGTGTGTCTCGTTTTATTGGGGGATTGCGACCTCAGCTTCAGTTGGCAATGGCGCAGTTTAACCCTACTTCAATGAGCGAAGCATTCTTGCGAGCTTCGTCTTTTGAACAGCAGCTTCGCTCGTCGAATTGGACCTCTACTTCTGCTCGGAACAGAGTTCAGGATCAGGCGAATGTTGCATCTTCTGCAACGCCCAAGGAAGGTGGTGATGGCGTCGCTCAGTCATCTCACACAGCAGCACCTCCTGAAGACCAAACTTTGCATCCCAATGCTCTGCAATGCTATTCATGCTGGGAAGAGAGACACATATAGACAGCCTGTACTCATTAAACTCGTTGGGGTCTTGTAATCGGCGATGCTAACGGAGATGATGCCGCAGCTTATGATTCCCAGGAGGAAAACGACAACTTGGAAGACACCAGGATTGTTCCGACACATGGAGACACAGGACGTTTGTTGGTGTTTCATCGCACTTGTGTCACACCTCGTCGGCAGGACGAGCAGTGGCTATGCACCAACATCTTTAGGTCGACATGTACGATCAAAGATCGTGTGTGCACATTCATCATCGATTCCGGCAGCTGTTGCAGTGTAATTTCTGCTTTTGCGGCTGATAAATTGGAGATTCCCCGAGAAGCTCACCCTGCTCCATATACGCTTGGCTGGCGGCACAAAGGGGTTAGTGGCCGTATAACCCAGCACGCGCTGGTGGCATTCTCCATTGGTCCGTACTATCGCGATCAAACCTACTGTGATGTTGCTCCAATGGATGTCAGCCACCTCTTATTGGGTCGTCCATGGGAGTTTGACTGGAAAACCATTTATGATGGTGCGCGTAATACTTACAGCTTTATCTGGAAAACCCATCAGATCCTTTTGGTTCCGTCTCGCGAAGCTTCTTTACCAGCCCCACCATCACCTAGCGTACCCGATATAAGCATTCGTTCCACTCCTTTGCCACCGACGTCAACACTCTTATGTTTTTATTCTGATTTCGCAGCTGAATTGCAAAACGAGGGTATCTCTTATGTGTTGCTTCCTTCCTCGGAGCCGCAAGTCTTGTCATCTCGTTTGAACTATGCACTTAATGCCGTTTTGGCAGACTTTGGTGACGTCTTTCCTAACGAGCTCCCTACCCAGCTTCCACCACTTTGCGACATTCAGCATAATATCGATCTTGTGGCAGGTGCGACGCTTCCCAATCGTCCACATTACAGGATGAGTCCTCATGAGCACGAGGAGTTATGTCGTCAGGTGGAGAAATTGTTACGCAAAGGTCATTTTCGTGAGAGTCTTAGCCACTGTGCGGTGCCAGCATTGTTGATTCTGAAAAAGTACGGTACTTGGTGTATGTACGTTGATAGCCGTGCCATCAACAAGATTACAGTTCGCTACAGGTTCCCGATTCCTCGTGTGGACAATTTGCTCGATCAAATCGGATCAGCGACGGTATTCTCTAAATCGATTTAAAAAGCGGGTACCATCAAATGTGGATCTGTCCTGGTGATGAGTGGAAGACAGCATTTAAGACGCGCGAAGGCTTATTTGAGCGACTTGTCATGCTATTTGGGTTGTCGAATGACCCCAGTACATTCATGCGTGTTATGAATCAGGCTCTGCGTCCGTTTATTGTCAAATATGTGGTTGTCTACTTTGATGATATACTCATCTTCAATGCTTATATGGAGGACCATTTACAGCATATCTGTGATGTCTTGCTTGTCCTGCGCAAAGAAACCTTTTTGTAGCGAAATAGAAGTCTCAGTTTGGTTTTTCCGAGGTCCTCTTTCTGGGATATGTTGTTTCTGCGAAGGATTTTGCAGTTGATACGTCTAAGATCGAGGCTGTTCGATCTTGGCCAGTTTCCCGCACGGTCACTGAGGTACGCAGCTTCCACGGGTTGGCTTCCTTCTACCATCGATTGGTAAGCCGTTTTAGCTCAATAATGGCATCAATCATGAGCTGTATGCGAGAAGAAAAATTTGAGTGGACTCCTGAAGCAGCAGTTGCCTTCGACTTGATCAAGGAGAAGCTGACTTCTGCTCCCATTTTGGTTTTACCGGATTTCTCTGTCACTATTGAGCTTCATTGCAACGCGTCAAAGCTCGGTATTGGTGTTGTTTTGAGTCAGCTTGGATGCTCGTTGCATTCTTTAGTGTAAAGTTAGCAGGCACGTGCGGGCGATAC